CAGAAACACCAATCAAGCAGAACACAGCAAACTCCAAGACCAATAAACACAGACCAAGACTCCCAACCAATCAGGATGAAGAAAAAACCATTCTGGCACGGTAGTAGGCTAGCCCCAAATTTAAAACAGAAACAGCTGTGAAAGTCTGACTCACAGACGAACCCAATACAGAAACCTGATGATGGCAGATGAGATTCTACCGAAACGTTGCTACAACTTTAAAAGCACAACTATAATGACGTGGGAAAATACCTGAACAAAGCTGAATATATATATCAGATATTTACTTTAATTCAGTAAATATCTGAATTAATGTTTTCTTAGTTTTTTTTACATATTAACCAAAGGTGATAAAAAGTACCTTCACATTGATTATGTTTCCAACATCTGTTTGACACTTCCTTATACATCTTTTATGGTACACCATCTTATAAAAATTCTCTTTCAAGTTATAATTCTATGCAAATTTCAGTCCTTTACTCCACATATTCTCTAGCTGATCAAGTGTTAAATTATTACCAAAGTTTCTTGCCCATTTGATCATAAGTTTTTAATATATTCATCCTCTATATTCATTTGCAAGATTAATTTATGCATCTTAGCAATCACATGTCAATAGTACATAATTGTGCAAAACATGTCTAATTTAAAACCAGCTTTTTTATTGATAAAAATCAAAATTCCTATTACTTAGTTTAAATAGTAATATCTCTCCAGATGCTGCACTTTGAGAAAGATCTATAAAAGCAACAATTTCCTAAAGAAGACACACATGCTTATTTGATTTTAATGTGCTTCATCCTAAATAATAATATTAAACAAAAATTGGTGTAACTGGTTTTGAAAGAAAGCACACAACATTCTGTATGTTAAATATAATGCTTCTCACAATCCTGAAACCTAATTTCACAGTTCTAAAGAGGAAAGTGTTTTAATTTTCTGTATTGAACTAATAATCAGGTGGCCCTATTTGAACTCCCAAGCTGAGGTCAGCCAGATGATGCACTGAGAACTCTTGCAGGATATCCTCCAATATAAAATCTCTGCTGTATTTAATTTTTTTGTAAAAATGAGTGGAAGGCAGCAATAATAATGCTTTGTGTATTTCTGTTCTGGGACGTAATATCTTTACTAATAAGAATGTGACATAGGTACATGATGTGGCATAACTGTAAAAGAACGTCGCTTGTTTTGCTTGTAAATTTCAGCTGTTTTATTGCTTGTAAGTTTATAGGTTAATGCAATGTGTAGTAAATGCCATTTTTCTTAATGAGACATTACATTAAAACAATGGTATATCTGTATAATACTGTTTTAAAATATTAATTTAATCCTTTTCAGAGTCACGACTTGAAGGATGGCTATCATTGCCTGCTAGAAACAACACAAAGAAATTTGGTTGGGTAAAAAAGGTAAATAATACAATTTTTAGGATATTACTTTGACATGATATGTGCCACTAGGTGGTACTCAAAAATGAATCAAACCATTTGTTTCTGCAATTGTGCTGCTTTTAAGAAATTATGGGCCTGGCTATGTATTACAGTCAAAAGACCAATTCACTAATAGCATAAGAAGCTATTAGTGAAGAAGCTATTATTTCATAGTTGTTGTGCTATGAGATAAGCATACACAAGTCACAGAGAGTTGGTTTTTATTTTTGTTTGTTGCGTTTTTTTTACTTGGGTAAATTTTCAATGGGGAATACTAGGTGTAGGATCTTAGAAAATTTTTCAAAAGTTGTGCAGCAGAAAAGAGCACACAACAGCCCTCCATCCAGATGTTTAGTTTTAGGTTGTCCTAACTTAGAGATCAGTGGTAAGGTAATATGTCGATCATTGCCCAAAACTTATGCAAATATCAAGTTAACCTATCCTCTCATTTTTTAATTTCATTTTTACATTGTACATTGTTGTATTTTTTTTTTTTGTACTGGTTTTGTTTCATGCTATATTTTTTCTATGGAAGCTGCTGATAGTTGTTTTTATTGCAATGGCATAGAAATATGATTAATACATAACTAAAAACTATGATTATTTTGTTTGATGTTTAAGATAAAATATGTTTTGTAGGAAGAGAGGCTGTTCTCTTATATTTTGACTAGCCAGACTGGACGTTATGTTAAATTGCTTTATTAAAATAACCTTTTACATACTTTCATTCTGTCAAAAAGTTGTCATACAAAATTTGATTATATAAGTAAAATCAATTTGCAACTTATACTTTGTATTGTTTAACAGTATATAATAGTCAGCAGCAAGAAGATTCTATTCTATCATAATGAACAAGATAAGGAACAGTCCAATCCATACATGGTACTGGACATAGAGTAAGTATTGTGATGTTTTTGTTTCATTCTGTACATAGTCAATATTTTTGTGATTCTGGAATCCTGTTAACAAAGTCCATCTTTCAATATGGTGAGTTAGTTAAAATAAACTAGATCCCTTTGATGAATTTGTAAACATTCTATAATGTACCAACCTGTGAAAAGCAGAGCAACTTTAGAAAATTTGATATTTATGTAATTAAAATACAGTGCTTTTAGGGTTTTATAATTTTAAATGGCCATAAATTTTAATGGTTATTCCATTAATCAAATTTAGATCATTAGTCCAAAATGGATGCATGGGGGAGAATCCATTCTACAGACTGATACATTGTAAGTGGATGGAACCTTGAAAAAGCTTTAAAAATCAAAGTTTGGATTAAGAGCACAGTTAAAATCTTATTTAAAGTCTAAGATGAGATCTATGAAGTAAATGGGAAAACTAGAAATGTTGCTACATTACAAGTTCATGTTTAAGTGATTTATGGTTAATTAATTTGCATTTTTGTTTCATATCTGCATTTCTGCTACTACAGCAAACTCTTCCATGTTCGACCTGTCACACAAACGGATGTGTACAGAGCAGATTCTAAAGATATTCCCAGGATTTTTCAGGTATCCTTATTTAAAAACATTTAACCAAATATAATGTAGACAAAGATGAGGTGCCATGTTTATTGGACAAACGTGAAAGAAACACACTGAGAGGCAATTGTTCTATAGGAGATCCCCCCCCCCCAAATATATATATAGAAGCACAGAGGAGCACAGAGCCGAAGACACAAGCCTGAAGATGATGAATGAGACTTCATCGAAACGTTGCCTAGATACTTCTAATCCTACACGGGAGAAAACCCGAATAACCAAAGATACACACACACACACACACACACACACACACACACACACACATATATATACGTGGATCTTTGGTTATTTGGGTTTTCTCCCGAAAAAAGTGGGGGAAGACTTTTCTGTCTGAATTTTTCCAGATGTTTTTGTGAGGCATCATATCTTTTACTGAGAACCATATTTTTTCTTCAGCAGAAGTAAGTTATTTTATAGTCACTTTATAATCATTATATAATCCTATGCATGCTGTCAATTTAGGTGGAGAAAATCACTGTTTTCCCATGTTAAGAATAGAAAAAAATCTTGCTAAGAATTACTGTAGGGAGGAGGAATATTTAAGAAGCATTTGAAACCTTTCCATAATTAATCTTTTGCCATTAGAAAAATGTTTTCTCTATCAATATTACTGACTTTTTCCCCAATTCCAGATCCTCTACGATAATGAAGGAGAAAGTAAAAAAGAACAAGAGTTTCCTGCAGAGACATCAGGGGAAAAATCAAATTATATTTGCCACAAGGGACATGAGTTTATACCTACCCTGTATCATTTTCCAACCAACTGTGAAGCTTGCATGAAGCCTTTGTGGAACATGTTCAAACCTCCTCCTGCTCTTGAATGTCGCCGTTGTCATATCAAATGCCATAAAGATCACATGGATAAAAAAGAAGAAATAATAGCACCTTGCAAAGGTAAGCGCTTGAGGATTCCTTAGCGTTCTCTGAGCCTGGTTGTTTTCTTGCAGATGTTTCATTACCCAAACTAGGTAGCACCATCAATGATGATCAACTTTGAGCTACACATATTCTCCTTTAAAGGTAAGTTTAAAATAAATAAAATCCAAGTTGATTGCAAATTGATCCTTAGAAAACTTCATAGTCCATAGTTAAATTTTAAAAAAAAAGAATAACCAGAAATGGTCCAGAAGAATATGTAGGTTTTCAAATTCTGTAGCCATCTACCACAGAGATGCTTTAGAGCCAAGGATGTCCTTTAATTAGGCTGTATCATTCAGGCGAGAAATAAAGAGATTTTAAACAAAGTGCCCTCTCTTGTGGCATCAGAGAATGCAATAGAATTTAGATGGCTTATCTTGACTATACTTGGCTGAATTGTTTAAAGGCTAATGCTATGAAAAATCTTGCTAAAATTCTGCCTCAATTTCAGCTGGAAAGTTGCACATCAGCCCTTTCAACTTGACTAGTCTTGATTGGACAAAAATGCTGTTTAATGTGTAATTTAATGTGATTTTTAAAAAATTAAATGCATTTATTTCTTAAAATAAGACATGGTTTCTCTTCAAATACAGTTTTGTACTACTACGATTCGGTTCTGAACTACTTGTTTTTAATATATTTCAGTGAATTATGATATTTCAACTGCAAAGAATCTATTGCTGTTAGCTACTTCTACAGAGGAACAGCAAAAGTGGGTGAGCCGCCTAGGAAAAAAAATTCCCAAAAAGCCTCCAGCACCAGATCCTTTTGCACGATCTTCACCCAGAACTTCCATGAAGATCCAGCCCAGCCAGTCTCTCAGGAGGCCAAGCAAACAGCTTCCACCAAATAAAAAAGAAAGCTTTCCCCCAAGGTAAAAAGTTACACGTACAAAATTGTGATAACTTTTAAAAACACTGTCCTGGGCACTTGAGGGAGTCATGTTAAGTATTTCTTTTGTGAGATGTATCCACCTGTGAAAGTCTTCTACTACCCTTATTTCAGGATATGTAGTTACTCTCTTATGGCTGAATCCTACAGATCTGTGGATTGGGATCTTAGGAACCATGGTTCCTTTGCTTCTCTTATCCAGTGTCTGAGGGAATGAAAAGTTATTGATTTATACAGTTCTCCTTTAGAGTAAAATTATTTGATTTAGAAAGTGAAACTTAAATCTTAGAAAATTATGTGGAGTATAATACATTCCAGGCCTGCATTTTTATTTTATATATTTAATTAGCATATGGCATATCATACATGAACTAGCCATTTATATTCACCTAGCATTTATACTAAAATAGGACCTAGGATTTTCTACATGACATCTTCTTTTACCTTTGTGACAGGAGTGGGAATTTTGTGACAGTCAAGAAGTCATACGTTAAAATGTATCCATAGCAATGGAATGCTAGGTTAACAATAACACTAGGAAGGTTGACACAAGCATTGATTTTATTAGCAAAAACTAGGTTGCTTATTTGGATCCTGCGGTATATAGATAAATAGAGCTGCACAGTCCATGTGCAATATCTAAACTTCCTGGGAGTGCAAATATAACACCTGCCTGCAACAAGTAGAAACACCTGAGTCTTCTCTAAAATCATGCCGCAGGTGCCCTTCTGCCAAACTGGTTTACAGTTTTCTTTGACTTCCTTATTCCTGTTGGATGGGCCATCCCTTCCTCCTCAATTTTTCAATTCAGGGTAACCATATAGAATAAATCATCAATGAAATTTCACCCATCTTATAAAGGCATAAATAAGCACCTGTAGATTTGAACCCAATAGGAAATATTAGCCCATTTTCGCTTGTTAAACATATGATATGTTTTAGGTTACACTACTTCACCACAGTTTTATTTTATTTTTTAGTACTGAGCCTGCTCTGCGAATAATTCTTCACTGAATTGTGTTTTTTCTATACTATATTCTTTTATTAATATATCAAGAGTAAGTAATAGGGAATTATGACTGAAGTACAGATGCATGTTAAGTGAGAACTAACTGTAAGAATTTGGCTACAAAGCATAAATGACAATATTTTGAAATATACAATATTTGTATAATAATTAGCTCAATAATTTATATAAAATACTAAGCAGTTTAAAATGTATACATTTGCATTACCCAAATGCTACTGATATTACCTATAATGGCCCATGCTTCATTAAGGAGCTGTAATCTAAAACCAAAATATTGTCATTTAACAACAAATTAGTTTTGAGTATGTTTAATGGCGTGAAAAGCATTTTGTGTGCATTTCATGCTTTGCCCTGTTTTTTTTCTAATTGTTGCATATAAATTATTGAAGAAGCACAGATAATTCCTTTTGATGTCAGGAAAAGTCTATAAAAATAATGGAGTAAGTGTTCTAGTTTAATCCAGAGAAAACAATATTTTTAAATCCCTTTGAAATTATGAAGTGGTTTTAAGTGTAACAATTCTCTTCTTAAATATGAACCTTTAGTTTTACTATTAATGCTAAGATCAGTATTCTCCAAGTAGTCAAAAGGTTTCAGGCAGGAAGTAGAGTTCGGTAAAATCAACCCAGGAACAGAAAGTTCCAGAGAAATCTGGAAAGTCCCATTTCTTCCTGGGTCATGTTGAACCTTCTCCTGGACCATGTCATTCTATATTCAGTGACTGAAACAATTATTTGACAGGAACTTAAATGGTTGCACCTAACATTCTGCCACAGAGGGCACACTGTCCACAGTTTATCCCACTATCCTTACAGGATAGATCTAACTTATCTCCTATCTTGTTCTCAAGGTAACTGGTAGACTTTTCCATTTGTAATAGCACCCCAGTGTGTGTGGAAGTGTGTGTATGCATAATTATGGAATACTCTGTGTGTAGCTTTACACAATTGATACATGGTATGCATAATGTAAATGATATCAACTGCAACTTAAATATTAAAGTTTTGGGGGGAATATATGTTTCTTACTAAGGAAATATGCTTTAAGTTTAGCTTGTTCCTTCATAGATTAATATAATAAACAGTAAAGAAACTGATTTTAAAAAAAGGTGGAAGAACGGTTGATTTTATACAGGTATAATGGAATGTTCTTTCATTTTGACTGCTAAATGCATTTTAGTTTATAGTTGCAGTAATGGAACTTACAAAGGCAGCTGATATATTTTGACAGCACCGCTCTATTGATTTAGCAACATTTTAAAGTATTCTGATTTATAAACAAATGGTATTGGTTAACTAATCAGCATCTGAAAAAACAAAAGTCACAGATATCCTTACAAAAGATAGAAAGGGCAGGATTTAGTTTTGAAGAGGGTGACATATCTGTTGGAGACTTCATTGATAGATTTACACAGTCAGATCATCACAAATGCCCTTGATCCTTGAATCAGTTCTTCTGATTTACCAAGGTGCACCTTGATTCCTCTTTGTTGAACTTTCCATTGAAATCTCATGAAAGGTTCTTCGGTCTTATTCAGCTTTAAAGGAGGCAGAATGGACATTCATTTTGTTCAGCTTCTCTCAAATGACCCATATGAATTGAGATGCCAACACACGATGCCACAATGGAGACTAGGGACAGAGATGATTTATACCCAGCTGAGCTGTGCTGCAGAAAGAACCACTGTGAGGAATTCTGTATGAACAGAGTAGAATTTGAAGGACACACAGGAGTAACTGAATTTTAGATTCATATACTTAGAGCTAAATAATTTAGCACTGCATCTGAGACATGCAGATACGCAAGCCTAACACCACATTCACATAGTTGCTTTAATCACACAAAGTGTTTGTGTGATTCTACACAAACACTTTGTTTCTACATCTTGGGTTTTTTTTGTATGTTGACACATACAGTTGCAGCAAGTATACATTTGTAGAGTAAGGTAATTCAGTATGAAGTACTTAAACTAACTTACATACACTAATTTGTATATTGCAATAGAGATAATAGAACATGTTGTTAAATCATATTTTTCTGTCAAACTTTTGTCTTTAAGTGGTAGTACCTGTCTAAAGTTTTATGGCTAGGAAGTTATATTCCAAGGAAACAGATGCTTTTTTCTCATTTCTTCCTCCTTGGAAAAATTCTGAAGCACTAGTAAAATGCTTTCAGAAATAAGATGAGGTGACTTTGTAAGATTTGTGAGTGCCAATTCTTCATCATTCCAGTTTGTAAGCACTGACAATAAATGAAAACCCTGGGTCATTTGTGCTGGGAAACATCCATGCATTCCATACATTATGAGACACACTTTGACATCCAGGAGTTAATTTTAAGAATGCACATAAGACTTGTGCATATGATTTATATTTTAACCAGTGTCAGAAATGGTAATACGTGCACAAGAAAAGCAATGAATGTTTCAGTAGTTTTGATATTCAGAATTGTTCTTAACGTGGCTCATAATGAAACCTCATTTTCCAGATTGATTGATATGGCATGTAGAGACTGGGATTGGTCATTTGATGATATTGATTTTGATGTTGATTTTAATATTGATGATGCTGAGGACGATCTTGATGATAGCGATGATGATAACAATGTGTTTATTCTAAAGAGGTAAATAGATGAATACCTGTAGGATAATGCATTGGTTTTATTACAGCATGTGTTTTCAGTTTTTCCCAAGAGAGCTATATGTGCTGGCTTAAAATCTAATAATAATAATAATAACAGTAATTTGATCCATGCATGATTTTTATTGCCTTGAAACTATAATTTCAAAATCCCTTATATATTTACAAGTGCTTCTTATAGTAGACTTTTCATGTATGGCTGCCTTTGTGCAAATCCACGTTTGAACATTCAAATTTATTCTTATGTCACATGCTGCTGCAAGCTCATATTTAGGTGACAAGGTAAAAACTTGATTTTCCGTGCTTTGGTGTACCTTGGTCATACTAAAGTGTGGTATAACTTGCTTTGCAAATATATTACACTAGATAATCAGCATAGGAATGATAGAACTTCTTGTCTCCATCCCCCGACAAATTATTTAAAGATAGGCTGGATTTCCTAATTTCCAAATCACCTTCAAGGGGAATATAATCTTTCCTTTGAATCATTTTTGATTGGGAGAAAGATAGTCTGCTATATAAACATTTAAAATAAATAAATGAAACGTAAATTAGATTCTACTCATCCAACTATCACCCAAAATTAAAAACAATTTTTTTTCACTACCACCCTAGAAATTTTCAGACTTTCTGTGCCGCACTTGGGCTGCTTTGTGGCCAAGAGTCTCGATGATTGAGAGTCCTAAATTTTGCCCCATTTTGCATCATTCTCATCTCTGATCCTGCAACAGCTTTGTGATTCTGTTCCCTCCAGCAGCAAAGTGGGACAATCCATTTTGAAAGGAGACTGACAGGATGCTGTGTATCTGAAGGAAAGAAATTAACGGCTCCTTAAGATCAATGCACAAACAAAGAGAAATCTTTTTGCTTTGCTAATGTGAACCAGACTGGCTGAGAGATCCAGCATTTCCTCCGTTGCCTACCTCTATTTCCTTAGAGCCCGTAGACTTATGAATTTGAATTTACTATATTTAAACTGACTGAGGTCTCTTCTTTTCTTTTTTTTTTCCAGCTAACTGCCTTCTGGGAATGCAGTTTTCAAGGTGATCTTCATCCCTCTGAAATAAGACTGAAACATCGTACCTTGAGTTATGACTGCTGTTGGCACCAGGCAGCCCAAGAGCCTTGGGAAGCAGAAGGAGACGCAGGAAAGGAGTGGGGGGGATATGCTGCAGGTGGGGGGGTGGGAGGCCCAGTGCAGGAGTCAGTTGAGTAGGGGATGGTGGTGGAGTGCATGTGGTTAGAGGAAGGCCGTGAAAAGAGGCACAGGCTGCATGCAATCACAGGGAGGCCAAGGAAAGGTGCACCCTGCGCCCATTTTCTAAGGCTTCCCTGAGCTTGTATACGTGCACACGCACATACACACAGACTTCCTATGCCCTGTTTCCATGGCCTCCTTCCCTGTGATTGCATATAACTTGCACCCTCATTCCCTGGCCTTCTGAACTTGCCCCACACAGAGCACCCCTTCCCCAACTCACACGTGGCCTACTCCGGGTTACCTAGGGCTTTCCCACTACAGCACCCCCCCTGCGCTCCTTACCTGGGACTCCCACTGCTTCCCACTTAATGACCTGAAGGCTGCGTTTTGGGCTATCTACTGCTAGGGACAACCAGGACTTGGTGATTGTGGTCGCCAAGCAATCATGTGGCATTGTGCTTTACCACAACTCACAACTCCCCCCCCGCCCAATTGCAGTCGTAACTCGATGACTACTTAGACTACAAAGATTCTCCTGTATCACCAAATATGAAGAAATCCCTTTTACCACCGCTACTGCGCTGCCCCGCACCCTCCCCCGTGCCTCCAGCACTGCCTGGCATCCCCCTTCCTTCTGGAGGTCAAAGCAAGGAAGAGACTTCCATCAGTTGGAATGCCCTCCGTGCGAGCTGTGGGCCTTGGCCTTCTCTGATCACCGTGCCCTGCAAGCTTCTGCCCTCAAGGCCTGGAATGGTGAGGAAAGAAAACCTCAAGAACGCCCAGGAGGAAGACGTGAAGTGTGTGCTTTGGACAGAGGCCTTGCCTGCCAAGGTCAGTATATTCCATCTGGCCAAACAGGAGCAGCGGCCAGGTCTTTTGTTTCCAATTACGCTTAATAAAAATCAGAGCTTTGGTTTTATTATCTGCTCTCTTTTGTTGCTATATTGTGCCTGAGCTACTGTGATGTTTGCTGTCTGTTCTTCACATGTCCTGTTCCCCCCCCCCTCTCCCTCCGTTCACCTGTCCCTTGTGCCGCCGGCTTCTCTCAAAAGAAAAAAGATACAAATCTGGCTTCCGCGAAAAATCTAGAAGTCCCGGCTTACTCTTTCCTCCAGTGTGTCTCCATTACCATCTTTGTACGTGAAAACCAGCTTCTTCAGGTGAACGAAACTCCTAGTCTGCAGCCAAAACAACAAAATGTCTCCAGAGCAAGAACACCTCACTCGCAGACCTCTTAAAATAAATATATATTTAAACATTGGGGGGGGGGGGGAGAGATTCTCTTGAAGCTCTTTCCACAAAGACTCGACAGGGATCAAAATGACGAGGAGTCATGAAGAATATCTATCCTTGTTCAGCCTCTGGAGAGAAACGCTACCAGCAACTTTGCCAAAAGAAAGCAAATGAGTGGCAGGTTCATATCAGATTGATGAAGACTGCATCTTAAAAAGTGACCATTATACTGTGTGTTGTATGTATTTTGGTGTTTAAATAAATACATTGTATTGTAATGCTGCAAAAGTGGTTTTTTAATTTTTTCCCCCCATTTTATTTTTATACATTTATTCATATTCCATTAATGCAGTTTGCAACTATGCACTTGTATAAAGCCATAATGTTGACATTTATATCATTCATACTTGTTTATTCAGCATGTCTGCACTCAGCAGTTAAATATAATGAAAAGTCCCAGGTATGTACTTATTACCTAACAAGCAGTCCCAAGTCTTGTTTTATCAGTTGTGAATGCCTTAAATTAATTTTGTTCCCTTAAATTTTATGCTCATTGCTGATATTTAAGAGATAAAAGAATGCAGAGGTTTACCAGCTCTTAAATGCAATTTTGCTTTGTTGCAGAATAATAGTGCACTATGTTTACATGTTTATATCAATGTCAGTCTATATGAATGTGTACCTAATAGGTTTGAGAGGGGAGGGGGTGGGTGGGATCAGCTAAACATGGCTTCCAGAAACAATGAACTGGTAGTATTAGAACTAATATATAACTTTCATGCATAGGTATTTTGAAATCAGTTCTTTGTTCAATTCTCAGTATTAGTCACAAACTTTGTATTCTTACTAAGTGCTATGATTTTCACTTTTTTTGCATACTATCCTAGCGGTGTGTTTTATTCCTGGAAAAAAATATAACTATTTTTACATTTTCATCGCACAATGTTTGAGGAATTTTACAATAACTGAAAAATACTGTAGATGTATTTTAAGCCTTTCGGTTCTATTCTCTAAGCACATAGCTTTAGCAACAGGAAAGTAATCTCAGTTTCATGTGTTTGAGAACTTGTGGAAGGAAAAGGCGCCACGGAGGCACTTAATCTATTTTTTTTATGTTGTACAGAATATAATTTGTAAACTCATTCATGCCATGTCCATAATTTATCCCACAAATGCATGTTTTATATAGAACTACAGAATGCTATGTTAAACACAAAGAGAGTTAAAAAAAGAAATATTGGAAACTCTACTTTGGGATTTTTTTAAAAAAAGTGTATGCACAGGTGTTGTATGATAATAACAATGGAATGTAGAATCTATTATCTATTATTTCACTAGATTTTCTTTTTGTTTCAGTAACAGAAATTGGGTATTTAAAATGAGGGGACCATGAACTATTTGGTATCCACCCTCATAAAAATTGGAATTGGTGTAGGATTCACCAAGCGGGACTTCTCCATATTTCCCATTTGTTTGTGCAGTTGTATGCAGTTATGTCTCAGCTGATCACATGCTGAGATCAGCTCATTCAAGCCTCACTTGTTAAAGAGTTCACTTCAGAAGGTCATGAACAAAAAAGTTCAATTCATTTGGACCTATAACATGGGTGTTTCCACTGACACAGACTGAAAATCATGTACCTATAAATTGGTCTAATAATGCATATCCTAGCTTGCACATTTAAATACACTTCTATTTTGGTTAATTTTTACAACTTCATGACACGGTGAAAGAATATTGTCTTGTGTGCTTGCTCTGAACAGTGAGTGTACAATAAAATATTTTAGGAAATGCATATTTTGCATACAAAACTTACTGTTTAAAAAATGTAAACAATAAACCTTGTTTCAATTCACTAATGGCATACATATTTTATATTATAAATTGTTATTTGTGGGATGATCTGAATTGGAAGAAATATATTTTTTTTAAATAAACTATTTGAGTAAGATACTAATATTATCAAGTTGATTTTTTTAAAAAAAAATTAATGTGAATAACAGCACTGTACTTGAAACCGGCATCGTATAGATTCAGTTGACTCTTACATGGTCATGTGAAAATCTGTATTTAAAAAGTAATATTATTTAGTGACTTTCAGGCTTTTAAATACAGATCGGAACTTTGCTTTTAGAATTAGTTTAAGCTTATCACTCTCTTTATGAAGGGAATTCTACATGAATTTTTGCTGTCAGAAAAGTGTCCCATCAATTCCAAACTAAGAAAAAATGTAAGACTATTTTGCTCATGTTCACACCTGTCTTAAATCTAAATGTTCATATTATTATTAAACTTAAAGGCCATCCAACTCTTGAGGACTCTGCAGATCATAACAACCAAAGAACTTACAATAAAATCAATTTAAACAAAAATAAAGATACAGGATCATTCCCTGCTGTCTGCACAAATTGCTTCTGAAACTGAATATGTGTTGCACTCTTGCACAGACATTTTCAAACTTTACTTTGCTCTACCAGACACAATGATATAATTCATCCATAGACATGAACTATTCAAACCACCTTGGCAAGGTTCACCATATCAGTTAATGTGAAACTATAATCTTAAATACTATTTCTTCACTTAAAGCTTCGTCCAGAACCTATTGTTTTGGTTCAGAACACCATGTTTTGCCATTATAAATTTAACAATCTGATCTAAGTCCCAAAGGTACTTTTTCGGGAGGCAACTGGACTTTCTGATTTTTATTAGAAGATATTTTGCTTCTCATCCAAGAAGCTTCTTCAGCTCTGTGGTGGGGAATGGAAGGATTTATATTCCTTGCAGACAGCTGGTCATTTGCATCCTTTTAGAAGGTTGTTAAAGCACTTGGAGTTTTATCTGTGTCCTCAGGGCCACCTGAATAGTAGTGCTGGTTCCTGTAGTCTGCATTTTTTTCCTCTTTGAAGTTTTGAGTGTTTCTTTTTCTTTGAAGGTGGTTCATACGTCTTCAAAGAAAAAGAGAAAAAATTGCAGACTACATGAACCAGGTGATCCTGAGGACACAGATAAACCACCAAGTGCTTCAACGCTCCTCTAAAACGGGCGTCAAACTCATGTCACAGCAACAACGTGGCGTATCACAACTTTTCCCCCCTTTGCTAAATCGGGCATGGGCATGGCCAGCCCATATCTGGGCTGCGGGCAGTGTTTGACAGTCCTGCTCTAAAAGGATGTAAATGACCAGCTGTCTGCAAGGAACATACCTGTCAGAGCTGAAGTAGCTTCTTGGGATGAGAAGAAAACTTCTTCAAAGAAAAAAACATGAAAGTCCAGTTGCCTCCTGAAAAAGCACCTTTGGGACAACCATGGCCTGGATGACTGAGAATCTCTACAGAATCTGAATAAGATTCCACTAGGAGATCTAAGCACTAGCATATAATTACTAAATTCAGTATGACCCAGTGTTCTATCTTGAGATAGATGGATGAAATTCTACAGTGAGAGATGATGTATATTTTAAGATTATTATTTTTTCTTGGTAAGGTAGAGTCAGCTGTAGAGACCTAATTTACTAACTGCCTCATTCAGTGTCTATTTAAAGTTACGATGGTGTTGAAAAAAAGAACTATGACCAATGCCATCATTTATGACATTTATAGCATGTCATAGTCACATGACCGCCATTAGCGTACAGTCTACGTCTGACTTATTTTTATTTTTTCTCCTTGCAGAAATGAGGGAAGGGATTACAAGATAGTAAGGAGGAATATTTGATCTAATTAATCTACCATTTTTTCAGAATTCCTAAATTACATTTTGAGTAATTGCAAGTACTTTTAATGAACCTCTTCTGCCTTCTCCGGTCATTTTTCTAATAGTTATTTTAAAGCAAAAACAAAAAAGGCCTAAGTAAGCAGAGTTTTAAAAAACAGCCACTTTTCTCCTTCATCCATTTTCACTTCATATAAAAATAGAAAAAATAAGAATTCTGTCCTCTTAGACATTTAAAAAACGTTTGAAGTTACATTTTTTTCGCCAATAGTCTTGAATCTTTCATCCCTCTTATTGATGATCTCAAAAGGAGGTATAATTCACTGCAAGGAATCTTATCTTTGCTGCATCTATAATTATTGCTTCTTAAAAAGTTTAAGAGTGGAGAAAGCAAAACTGTAAATGTCCATTATCAGCTCTGTTTCAGTTGGGAGCAGAGATGAAAATCCGGAGTATCTAGTTACAATTCCCCCCCCCCCCCCCAGTTTAATCAGAAGGAACTTCTGTCCAGAATATATGTTTAATTCCACAATCTTCCTTTAATCCAGGGAGATAAAAAAGCTATTGCCAAACTATGGAAAGCCACAGAGTAAGTCAGGTTGACATTATCCACCAGAAGCAGCTCTCCAGGAAAAAAATGGATGATTTTGAGAAATGAATAAGATTTGTGAAATTCTTATATAAGAAATAAAAGATTTGTAATATTAAGACAAGAAATGGGAAAAGACATTGAAAAATTATCTGACAATGTAAAACAAAACCAGAGTGGAATTTCTAGAGAAATACATCTGAGGTCCAAGGTAGAGAGTTGGAAAGAAAATTGGATGATTTAGATTTATAGGAATTGAGAAAGTCATCTGCTTGAGATATAGAATGATTTTTGGAAGTCCCAGATGAAAATGTTAGACAGAGGTCCACTTACTCTCTTGTAATCCCATGCTTTCTGCAAGGGGGAAGGAAATTATTATCTCTGCATGCAGTCTTTCCTGTGGCTGGTTTATGTTTTTTTCCAAAGCAGAGATTACAAGAGTGAGCAGACACAATGGAGAATACACTGAACTGTTTGTATAATGCGCTCCCAGATCCTGGCTCCCAGACCTCTTCTGGACTGTGGGCCTCACTACATTTTTAAAAAATAAATACTCCCTACTCTCTTTAATCCCTTTCTTTCCAAATACAAACAAGCAATTATCCCAGTACTGGGCTGAACATTCCAAAGGGTAGAGTAGGTGGGGAATGGGAAGCAATCAGTCATGTGATTTCTCACTGAGTGACAGCTTCACTTAATGACAAAGCAGCTGGTCCCAATTGTGATCACTAAACAATGACTGTCTTATTATTTTAATCTGACCAATACGATGACATGTTTAATAGGATTTTATTCAGCTGTAGGATTGATTATTTTAGGTCATAATAATTTAGAGAAGTGTTGCCTGTTGGACCCTAGGTTTTGTCCCTTATAGATTCATTACCTCCCTATGATAGTATTAAAGTGGCAACAACAAAATAAGTGACAAAGAGTCTGTCCTAAATTTGAGGGGAAAAATCAGTTCTGCATTTGAATACAAAGTCACCAGAAAATAACAGTTTGCCTTATAAATAGCACTCTGGTGCCTTCTCTTTATGCTCTTGCTCAGTAGTACTCAGGCATCCTGACCAGGCTTCTTCAAGAAATGAATGCATTTACAGAATGACATACAGTACAGTGGATTCAGAAAGCATTCAGCCTGTTTGGAGTTTGTGAAAAAGCACCTGAAGGACTGTGAGGAACAAGACTCTCCGGATTGATGAAACCAAGATGAAAGAGCTTGGCCTCAATTCTAAACATTTGTCTGGAGGAAACCAGGCACTGCTCATCACCCAATATCATTTCAACAGTGAAGCCTGGTGGTAGCATCATGCTGTGTGCCTGTTTTTCAGCAGCAGGGAGATTGGTCAGGGTTGAAGGAAAGCTGAATGGAGCAAAGTACAGGGATTATCATATGCTCAGTGAAAACCTGTTCCACAGCGCTGAGGACCGCAGATTGGGTTGAAGGTTCACTTTCCAACCTGACAATCCTTAAGCACCCGGCCAAAGACAACACAGGAGCGGCTTAGGGACAATTCTGTGAATATCCTAGAGCAGAGTTCCCCAACCTTTCCAGGCTGACGGCTTGGATAGAAGGAGGAGGGGAGGGAAAGAAGGGATGATTTTGTGGGAGGGGCAGGTGCTTGTGTGAGCACCCATTGCTTGTGAGGCTGAGTGCCCATAATGCTTGCATGAGGCCTCAAGCGCCCCCGATGCTCACAAGTGGGGTGGCAAGCGCCTGTGCCACTTGCTTAAGTGGGGGCCCAAGTGCCTGCAATGGTCACGCAAGTTGGGTTGTGAACCCCTGCGATGCTCACATGTGGATATGCATGCAAACACACACATACCAGTCAGCCACTCATGCAAACAGACCACGGACTGGTAGTGGACTGCAGCCCACAGGTTAGGGCCTCCTGTCCTAGAGTGGCCCAGCCAGAGTGCCAACTTGAATCCTATTGAACATCTCTCTGAAGGACCTAAAATGGTGTCCACTGATGGGCACCATCCAAGCTGAGCTTCTGAGGATTTGCAAGGAAGAATGGCAGAAAATCCCCCAATCCAGGTATGCCAAGCTTGTCGCCTCATACTCCAAACTATTCGAGGCTATAATTGCTGCCAAAGTACTTCAACAAAGTGTTAAGTGAAGGACCTGAATACTTACGCCAATGTGATATTTCAGTTGTTTCTTTTTTAATAAATATACAGATATTTCTAACATTGTTGTCACTTTGTCATTTGTAAAATCAGGCTGCAGCAGAACAAAATTGACAAAAGGGGGTCCAAATACTTTCTGAATGTACTGTATACATACATTGAAATGCATAGCCACTTTGATCTAGTGACTAGTGGGTTAAGGCACCAGGAGAAGCAAGGAGACTCTGAATTTTAGTCCCACTTTAGGCAACTGAGTTACCTTGGACCAGTCACTCCCTCTCAGTCCTAGAAAGGATGCAATGGCAAACTTCTTCCACAAAACTTTCTCCAATTAACTGCAGGGACTAGTCCACATAGTCGCTAGTTGCTAGGAGTCCACACTGACTCAAAGGTGCATGAACAAACATCCCAACAGATGCTAACTTACATGGTATTGTAATTTGAAATGTTTAATATTTACGCCATCTCAGATGGAATGCACGTAGATGTTTTTCTTTTGTAATCCTTACAAAAATCCTGACCAACCAGGCTAAACAAAAGGTAGCTTGCCTCACCCCCATAATAAAATCTCTTGCATCTCTGATTTGTCAAAAATCCATCAGGACAAGCTGAACTCATAAATACTTAATTTCTCTGCTGATAATTTCCCACAACAGAGCAGGTCATTTTTTTTTTATTCCCATGCACAATTATTCAAAAGAGTTAAAAGAAATTTTGAAAATGTAATTAAGCTACTGCATTTAACATTAAACAAAAACACTTTATTTCCTTAATTGTTTAATTGAAGAAAGCTGCATACTTAGTTCAAAGAATAGAGAAAGTGCTTTACTAATTTTTTTTAAATGCCGCTGTTCTTTATTGCTGAAATAACTTTCAGAATTAAGTACTAACGATACATTTATACTTCTTGAAACCTAGTGGGACACTAAACCAAGTTCAAAGAATTGCTGAAATATTGATGTTCTTCAAGTTTCATGTATTTCTTTATATTTCGAATCAAAATATAACAGTTATCAGCTACTCAAAATAGTAGCGATACAAATTTGGTTCAAAAAAATATAGACTGGACTGATAAATAAACCCAAACAGAGTATCAAGTTTAAGCTATTTAAAGTGCAGGAGCTGAAATAAAAGGATATTTTTTCTGTAGCTGAATCTGTTTTGAAATACTCTTAACTAAATAAAATACACAGGTCTTTTTAAGATGAAGAGTTAGAGGGCCATTTAGCATGAGGAAATCAAGAAAGATTTCCTCATAGGCTAATTTTTTTTTCACTTTAATGAAAAACAAAACAAAGCACAGATAACAGTTTCCAGAACCGCAGTTCTGAAAAGCCAGCAATTCAGTAAATATAAAACATTACTTTTCTGTTGGCTTGAACTGTTGTTGGTCCTACTGAGCTGTGTGTACGGGTGGGATTGTCCATGGAAATAACCAACAAAAAAAAAAATCAACCAGTTTGAGAAGTCTGTTATGCAATCTGCTCATATAAAATGAAACACTTCGTTCATCTAGCCAATTATTTTTACAAACAGTAAGCATAAAGATCACAATGCATCTGAGGCGTTGGCACTGAATGTCAAGTACATGTTCAGTATGTAAACATCAGTTCTCATTTAATGGAATGTCTCATTTTAGTCCAAGTTGTTCAAAAAGGAGGCGGATCTGCATCTTAGTCTTGCTTCTTAGCCTTCCGGTATTCCAATACAGTAGCGATGACCCAAATATTAAGAACCATCATGATTACAAAACGGATCAGAACTAGGAAGAGGAAGGAAGAATACTCATTAGCAATTGCGTACCTTAAAATGAATCAAGCAAGATAAAATCAATTTTAAACTTAGGAAATAGCTTCCATAGCAATCAAACTAATAGCACAATACCTATGCTAGTAGAAGAGAAACCCCTGAACTTTTCCCCTCATACAAAGCATCACATTGCCGTCGTGCCCCAACTACTTCCAAACTCCAAATTTGTAGCTTCTAGGGTTCCTTTGAAAGAAGGGACATTTTGGGGTGGTTTATAGAATAAATTGAATTCTTTTCTTGTGCCTCTGGAGCTCCACAAATGAAAGAACTTTCAGTCCTACTTAACTTTGGGTTTCAAAGGCACAAGATCAGTCGTAAACGGAAAACAAGCCCTTCAGTAAGGCGATGCCTGTTCCCAGAAATAAGTTTCTGCACACCAAACCTTATAAATGGAGTGGGAATGTGAATTTGACTTAGAGAATGAGAAGAACAACATCCAACCATTACAAAGAAAGATATTTGAGTCCTGGGAAAGTAGAAAGTATAAGAAATTCAAAACAAGACTGCGTTTGGGTTAGGTACAAGTAGAAGTAGAGAGAATTTCTGATAGGCTTTCAAGATTCTGTTACACTACCTTCACGTTCCAGGATTCCTAGTGATTCCCATTTTATGGCCCAGGTTCACTTCAAAGGACAGATTGGGAACCAACCACACCTCTCAATTATTATGTAATTAGGAACATAAGGACATTGTGACAGCTGCTTACCCCACCACTCTTTGACTAGAACAGACAAGAGGAATCCTCAGGCCTTACGTGGATTCTTGTGTCACTTATACGGAATCCCTCACAATCACAGTATTTAAAGTCAGCTCTCATAAAGCTATATCATCATCTCAGCACATACAGGGAAAGAAATTCTTTCTGCCTTGATGAGACAGAATTACTTTTTTGTTGTTTTCAAAATAGAAAGGGTTAATAATAAACTTCAAAGCCTGTCCTCCCAGAAAATATACAATATTTGTGTGCATTTGAACACACGTAATTAAATCTGCACAGGGGAGGCAAAGCTTTGGAGGATGAGATGCCTATGAAGGACATAGGCTGGGGTTGAATCTTCCTTCATTCCTTGAAGGAACCTCCCAGGTTTTACAGAACACTGTGCAAACCCAGCAGGGTCCTCCATTGATTTTCCAATGAATGAAGGGCAGCAGATGACTGAATGATGAAGGGGAAGGAGTGTGTTCCCCCATACCCCTCACTGCCTGTTTCAATTGCTCAAACAGGACCAAGATTTGCAGTCAAGGATTCCTTGCTTTAAACCTTCCTTTGATTTGTGACTTGTGAATGAGAATGTTTGTTTATTCTGTGTGACAGTGAGAGCAATCAACCAGTGGAACAGAAGTTGCCTTCAGAAGTTGTGGGAGCTTCATCACTGGAGGCTCTCAAGAAGAGACTGGACTGCCATTTGTCAGATATGGTGTAGGGTTTCCTGCTTGGGCAGGGGGTTGGACTAGATGACCTACAAGGTCCCTTCCAACTCTGTTAATTTGTAAATTTGTATGTAGCCTTTTCTTCTAATGAGAGCTCTTCCCTAGTTATTCTTCTCTTGTCTTCCATAGCCAGTAAGGACATATAGGAACTATGGGCATCCAGAGGCAATGCCTTAGCAAATTTGCCTATTTGTAGAAGCATCCTGCAAAGAAGGCCAGGTCAGGAGACAGAACCTGCACGGACTACAAGTAGTCCGCAAAGCGATGAGACCAATGACAATCTTGGCGGTCCCCACTGCTGTCCTTGAAAGAGAGGTCCACAGGTCCACATACATTTCCTGCTGGCTCCCAGCAACCAGTGTGAAAATCAGTTGCAAACGCTGGTCAGTAGGCAAGGAGGCTGGAAGGCAGGTAAGCGCTAACAGGTGGGGAAGGGCACGTGAGAGGTCAGCACAGCCTGCCGCAAGCACATCAAGAATTGGAATGGCTGCTGCCAAGTGGGGTGTGGGGCTGGTGTGCCGTACTGTGAGTCCAGCAAGGGTCGAGGTAACTATTGCCGGGTGGGAGTGACTTTCAACCTTCCCTGCTGGCTTCTCCATTGACTTTGCTTGTGGGACGTTAGCAGGGAAGGCTGCAAATGACAATCCTGTGGCTCCGCGATGCTACAGTTGCTGTTAGAGTGAGCCAACTGCCAAGTGCCCAGGTAGAGATCAGGTGAATGTGGGGGTGCTGGGAGGGCTGAAACTACCTCTCCTTCAGCGCCACTGAACAAGTGGTTTTTAACCTTGGACTACCTGTCCTGATATTTTGTTACAGAGCATAACAGAATCTGAAAAAACTCTTGTCCCATAGAAGATCAAAGCAGGGTTATTTTGAGTCTTTTTTCTTAGGCACCCACTTAGCTGAGATACTGCTGACTTCTAACAGTTCTTGCATCCAATGTTATCTCTACCTTCCTCTATACTTGCAGTTTTTCTGTAGAATATGTTTAAAATCCCTGCTAAAAGAGTCACAATAATAATGTAACATTACCTGTAGAATCCTTTGTAGTCATTAATGTTGTAAATATTCTTGCTTTAATTGGGAGAAAGAGAGAGAGAATGAAAGTTAGCAGATTTTAAATAAATGACTTTCCCGTTTTACTAATAACTCACTTCCATTCTCTTTCAATCCTGGCAAATAAGATATGCAGAACAATTATCATGCTTGGTAGAGAAATCTTGTCACGCATCAGCCTGAAATCTTCCAATTTTTTTTCTTTTGACATGCACTCACATATTTCTCGCAAAAGATTATCTTTTAACAAAGAACAGTATCTTTCAGGAACTTGTTTTCATTTTCTCAGCAATTTTTGTAGGACTTAAAACCTTATTTCAACAAACTGCATTTAACAGTAGCTCATAAAAGTCTTCCAATAATGTTAAATTTCATACTCTTTAGTGTAGTGGTTAATGCATCAGTCTACACACAGAATATCAGGAGTTTTAGTCCTAGTTGAGGCACAAAGCCAACTGGGTGACGTTGAGCCAGCCACTTTCTTTCAGAGGCAATGGCAAACCACTTCTGAAAAAAAACTTCAGGTAGTCTCTGAGAATTGGACACCGAAGGGGTAAAAAAAAAAAAAACCTATACTGAGAAATACCTCAAACATGTTGGTAGAATAGCTATCTCTTACCTGCACAGGTGTATATGGCTAATCCCCAAGTTGTGGCACTCACTTGTTCAGAATCTCTAGTCTGCCAAAGACACCGGAGCTGAGCAAGTTTACTTGCTGCACTGACCACTGTGCTCAAGTTCTGCAGAGAGGGAAGAAAAGGAATGCGACTGTTAAAGCAAAGATCACGTTGAAAAGCGGGAAGTGTCCATTGCTCGATTCTTTTTTTGGTGAGCAGAAACTGAAAGACAGATGCTGCCTATTCAAAAAAGATTTCATGTCCCAGGACCCAAAGGGCAGATTCAGCTTCAGATCCAACAAATCTGCTGGCAGCTAGTGAAGATGACATTTAATGCTTGGATCTGCACTAATGCATTAAATGATCCCTTTGCAAGTTATGTTAAGTCATATTGAGATTGGTTTGACTTTAGACTAGTGTACAATCCACTGCCATAGCTTAGTTAAAAAATCATGGTTCAACAAATATGTGTTATTGTAGATCCTGTTTAATTGGAGGCTCTTCCAAGGTGACATACATAATACAACTCACAAGACAATTAAAAAACAGCTACTGTCAGTAGTTCAAAAACAGAATCCCACAGCAAACTGCAGCTCCTTTCTAGGAACTTGCCTCTGATGGCAGAACCAGTAAATACTGTAGAAATGGAAAACAACCGATTCTCGCCTAATACCTAGAGACACATTTTAGACCTAACTTAAAAAAAAAGGGGGGGGGGACGCTGATAGGAAGTCAGGATATATGGACTTGTGATGATACCAGGGAGTCCTATCTAAGGGCTAGACCAGGGGTCGCCAACCTTTTGGACCCCAGGGACCATCAAACTCATAATTTTAAATCCCGCGGACCAGAGACCGGACCCCCCCCCCCCAAAAAAAAAGTCTGCAGGAAAATTCCCCATCCCATATTCCTTCCGATTGATCATTCTTTATTTGGGATCGCAGGATACCGTCTCCAGCTCCATTCTCGGGGGGGGGGGGGACTTTTGGCTTCATGCAAGGAAAGCAGCAGAAGCAGCAGAAGTCTTTCTCTCTCTCTTCCAAACTCCGCTAAATATGAGTCTTTGTGAGACTTGTCACGCCAGGGCAGCCTCTTGGAACAGGATGCCTTGCAGGGTCCCAAAGACTCATTTCTGGCGGAGTCTGGGGAAGAGAAAGTCTTTTGCTGCTTTACTTGTGTGCAGCCAAAAGCAGAAGAAAAATGTGGAAAGAAGCAGCCCAGTGGCCAGGCAAGGCACGTGGGGCAAGTTCTCCTCTCCACCCTCCCCCCCCCTCTCCTCACGTGTTGTTTCCAATGCAAGTGATGCAAGCCTTGTGTTCCCACGGGCCATATGGGTGGCACAGCCTTGTGTTCCTGCACAGCCTGGATTAATTGCTTTGGGGGTGCCATTTCTCTTGAGACTACCATATTTTTCTCATGGACCACCAGTGCTCCCCGGCCCACTGGTTGGCAAACAGTGGGCTAGACTACATTGGTGTAGGCCACCATTTAGTCAGCCAGGAACTTTGCCAAGATTAATGAGCTGATGCAGGCTAGTGCTTTAGTGCCCCAGGGACAGAGAACTTGAAGCATGCCAATCACCATTAGAGCTACAACTGACAAAAACTGGTGGCAACTTTAGATACATAATAATAAAAAAAAAACTTAACATGGTTTTATTTTTTATTTTTCCCCTCTCAGTTCAGGGGAAAAAAATTCCCATCCTCACCATTTTGCATTCCTCATCCCCTTGGCTCATGCTCACTCCCAAGGTCAGGCGATCCTTTCAAGTTAACATATTTATTTCTTCCCAACAGCTACAAACTAGACAAACTTGAATTTTCGGATACAGTTTCTATCCTAACTTATTCATCTTATGGTTTCCAAATGTCCATGTTTTTAGACTACTTGGACCTGCCTGGCTTTACAACAAAGCAAGCAGATATTAAAGTGTTTCGAGGTGGCCCAGTGTACCCACAGAACTTTAAACTTTAATGAAACACTCTTAACCTTTAACGAAATACCAAAATTACTGAAGGAAACAATTAGACCCTCTCCTTATTTTGGCCTCTTGAGCTTGAAGTAGCAAGCTAATTGTAAGCCCAGCACATACTGGGTCCTAAACCAGCCACCTGATGTCACTTGCTCTCCTCTTTGCCTTCCTGCAGAAATCCATAAAGAGCAACATCTTTCCAATCAACACAAAATGTAGAGGAACTCAGTTTCAAGAGCTGTGCCACATCGCTAAGTGATGATGCATCTTAATTCAAGCCAAGGAGAAGAGAAGACAAGCAATGAGCTTCTGACTCTTCATTTCCATGAAGTTCCTGTCCCACACATTTTGTGGTGGTTTCCCATTACATACTGCAACATCTAGAATGACAAATTATAGAAGTGCGTTCTTTCAACTCCTTACCATACTCAAGTCCAATATCCATTCTTGCAGAGTTACAGCATACCATCCTGCCACAAATCTAATATTTCAGGTGAAGATACATATTATTATTACATAATGAAAGTGAAAAGGATGTTGGGTAGGTCAGTGGCATAATCTGATTTTAACTGATGCAGTCACTTTATTGTGCTCTTCTCCTTTCTTTATCTGCAATCCTTTTGGTTGGTTTCTATCATCTTTAATCTTCACATCTACATCCATTATTCATCAGATGACTGAACTAATAAGTCTAGAATTATTAATTAACAAATGGCTTTTACTTGTGGATGTTCAGTCAAACTGCATGCCCTCGGGGTCCCCAAGAAAGCTCTCTGTAGGTTAGCAGACCCAAGTATGTACTACAAATGAGGACTGTGAAGCAGTTAAGAAAGAGATTAGGAAATGGTTTCAGAGGACACAAATGAAACGTCTGCATTTGCCTCAGCGGCATCTTTCCCCAGAATCCCAAGCGCAGTGGTCAGAATGCAGCATTGCAGGCTGACTCTGCCCACTGTCAGGAGTTTGATCCTGACAGGCTCAAGGTTGATTCAACCTTCCATCCTTCCAAAGTCGGTAAAATTAAGCCTTCCTCCATGTGTCTTATTAGATGTTCACATGTTCAGGATTTCACCCAAACATTTTCTAGTGGAATTAATGTGCTTCATTGGCAATTGAAGTTTTTTTAGTGGAGTAGAAGGGCTTTGTGAGAAATTTTCAAGTGTAGCAGAGTGGGCCTGCTTTTAATTCAGGGATAGAAGTGGCTCTGCCAGGCTGTTGGGCTACAAAATCTGTTATCCTTGTTAACTGTTGGATATTCAGGCTGGGACTGGTAGATTTCGGAGTCCAAAACTTCTAAAGGCAGCTTTGGAAGCTCAGCTTGTATAGGTGAATATATATGTGATATTTTTCATAACTTACTTGGGGTCATGCCTTTATAGGAAATTTGTATTTATTGGATTCCAAAATGAAACTTTTTTTCATTTTGCAGTTAGGATGTATGAGATCATAAAGACATTTCCCAAGTATCACAAGAACCATTGCACAATAGTTTGTTTCCTAGTTGGAAATGGCTATTCAAGTGGTCTGAAAGTTAGAACTTTCTGGATCTGGATCTGGATCTGGAGTGTGAAATGAAAGCTGAGAATTTCAAGCTTATTCATTCTGTGACCAGCATAGGTCCATCTCTGCAAAATGTGTGCAATGGGGCTGTAGTGTTTTGGATTCAGGTCTTTCACAATAAGTAGGGGCATGAGTGTAGGATTTGTTCGCAACTCTTTAAAGCAGCTACATCATTTCCCAGGAGCAGGATGCAGAGCTGCATAATAGAAATACAATGGAACCTCAGGTCGCAAACGCTCCTGTTTGCGACCAAATCTAGTTCTGACCAAAAAATCCACCTGATTTTTGAATCGGGACACAGTTAAAAGATTGGGTGGCGAACAAACCCGGCCGCGGCATATTTCCTTGCAGAGGCTATTTCCCCTTCCGTGCATGCGCACTCCATCCACACATGCGCAGTTGGTCATGACCAGTCGGGTTGCGACCATAGTCCTGGAATGGATTATGGTTGCGACCCAAGGTTCCACTGTAGTACTTATATACCACTTCATAGAAATAGCACTTATATACAGCTCCCTCTAAGCGGTTTGCAGAGTCAGCATATTGCCCCCAATAATCTGGCTCCTCATTCTAAATATGGGATGGAAGAACAATGGCCGGAAATGTGATATAAATGGAAAAGAACAAATCCATAAGTGAAGGATACATGACTGTGTAAGGCAAAGCATGCTTCATTTTGCCATTGAAATGCAGAACAAGCAGGCAAAGAATAATATCTGAAAGAAAACAAAACAAAGTTCATTACTACATGACTGAGAAAAATAAAAGAATGGTGGAATAATAAATGAGGAACCAATCCTACCTTGCACAATCATGAGGGGATACTCTATATATGTTAGCTGAGGATAATGGTAGTAACTCATATATCTCAGGCAAACAAGGAAACTGGAAAAGAAAACATAACTTCAATCAATGGGGCCAAGACATAACCAGCCCAGTCATCTGAGAGCAAGCTTTATTATTCTTTCTCTTCTTCCATGGGCCTAACTTCATACCAAATAACTTCTCAATTTTTAAACAATTTATTGCAATATTCAGACCAAACCAATTGAGTTAAAAGGCATCTCCAAACCAAGGCACCAAGCCAGAATGTGATCTTCCCAGGGTAGCCAAAGAAGAAGTATAGTATAGTATAGTATAGTATAGTATAGTATAGTATAGTATAGTATAGTATAGTATAGTATAGTATAGTATAGTATAGTATAGTAT